TGGCAACGGGCTGATGATAAAGTTAGTAGAACTAATAATCACTGAATTTCAACATCTTTTTGGTAACTTCGCGACTTCAGACAACCAAGAAAGTGACAATAAATGAAGAAGTATAAAAAAATCAAAAATAGCAGCTGTTGTGAATTGAAAATAACGAGAAAAATATTAATTTCCTCGAAATCATCGAAATTTTTGAAAGATTAGGAAAAAACATTCATCCTGTAATGTACCGAGAATAGTTGAAGTTGATTGCGACAATGATAAAAACTAATGCCTTCCTGTTCTAAGTAATAAATAATGATCGATTTCGAATTAAGATATATAGTTGGTCTACAAGTACACAAATTTTTATTAAATATGGAAAAGTTAGCTAAAAGGTAATCCTATAAGAAAAATATCTACATTAATTATTCTTCAAAATAAAAATATCGCAATGGTATTAATGATCTAACTGCTATATTTTTACATGGCACTTTAAAAAAATCTGTTAAATTTACAAAAAGTAAGCTGGTCAGCTGGTGCTCCATTACAAAACTCCTTATTTCACAAAAAAATACTTTTATTTGAAAACGGACACCAGTTTTTTAAGCAGATAAGCAAGACAACTATAAAATAACTATGTAAGCATTGTGATCGGTAAGAGTCAAGAGTAGGACTCGCATGAGCAGTCAGCGCCGGGATTCGAACCTGGTTTTACTTGGAAGGCTCTGTTCCCTGAGCTATGGCAGCCCCAGTAAACTGGTTATGAAGAAAAACTTTAAACTGTACTTAGCTTAAAAGTCTTACTTATTGAAATCATATTTAAGTGTAAAAGCGTTTAAAACTAACGGCCCAGCTTTGTAAACATATTTAGAAATTTAACTTACGGAAATTAACTTACCGAATGCTGCTCGTGGAAATTTAACTTACCGAAATTATTTTCTAAAAGCGCATAATAATCAGGGATAGTATCAATCGGGCAATGAATTTGAATCGCAATTTTATTAATACGATGTTCAAATTTATGAAATAATCGCTGAAAAGTAAAGACGAGTATATTATTTTATATTTTATAACCGTTGTTGAACAGCTGACCCAATTTAGGGTTTACGACTACTAATGCTTAACTCCATGGCCTTGTAGTTTTGAACCCAATACGAAAGACAGGGGAAATCCTGGATCAAGTATTAGTAGAAATTTGCCTTAATGGAGGACTTTTTGATTGAACAAACCCGTAATTGCGTTACATGGAGAGGAAGACCACGAGAACTCTAACCCATGATCCGTCAACCACTGAGTTCACGTCAGCACTGTGGTCGGTGCAAGTCGAATGTGGATTCGTATCGACCAGCTATCGCTGGGATTCGAACCCGGTTTACCTCATTGGAAGGCGAACGCTCTTTCCCCTGAGCCATCTCGGCTCAAACCTAATTCTATAGTAATATAACGTAGAGCACTATATAAAGAGTGTTCCATAGTCAGCACCTTTTAAAAAAATAGTTGCAATATGATTTGAAAAAAGATAAAATTATCTTACGGTAAGCAAAGCTGTATGGCGAAAACTGGAATTTTAATTGGCTCTTTTAAACCACTTATTAATTAGGAATAAAAATACGGATGTAACATACGGAGAAAGTCGGTAAAAAAACGTACATTTTTTGCAATGGGCGGGTAATAATTAACAACAAAAAAAATATTTATTTAGCTTTAAACAGTTTCTTTATGTAAAAAATATGCTTTCTTATGTAGAATTTACAATTATTTTCTACAGTGTGAAGTAAAAACAAATATTTCCTTGAAAACTGTTCCTTACTGTTTGAACTACGGAATATTATAGTCTTCAAACTCTGTCTTGATTTTATAGACTCAGAAAATTTGTCCAAATGACGTTTGTATGATTTTGGGTTAAAATTTAAAATTATTATGAAATATTATGAAAAATTATTATTAAATATTATGAGAAATTATTATGAAATATTTTCGAAAAAAACTTGTTTATTAACTAGCATTTTGAAATAGAAATAAATAGACTTTTATACTAATATACTTTGGGGGATCAGTACTTATTATAAATAGCCATTAGTTGCTTTATTACTTTGTGGATGGTATGAATTTTTTGGAAAAAAATACATTTGGAATAGATTTAGTTATTTTTTTTTTTTGCCTAGTTTTCACTTTTTTAGTTTCATTTTTCAAATTAGTATATTTTTATTCTTTATTTTATTGCTGAATTATCAACGAAATGTTTATTTATAAAAAGAATAAAGTTTACTTAAAGGTTACAATTGAAAAAGTTATTAAACGAAACTTTCATTCTTCTTTCAATTTTACAAAATTTATTCATTAAATGCTGCAAGTAAGTCATATGCAAAGAACAATAACTTAATTAAAAAGATAGTTGTTTTTTTACTTTTAAAATTTAATGTATTTGGTTTGTTGTAAAATAAAACTTTGATCTGGGGCAGTCACATTATTTATGTTTTTTCCGATTTAATTGAAGATAAAAATAAAAATTTAACTTCAAAAATTTAGTGCTATTTAATTACTCGTAAAATAAATAATTATTGCATTGTTTGGTCACATTTTGATCTCAAGTCATAAAACTGAACCATTCGCGAGATGCTAAGCATTATTTATTCAAAGAACTTGTTGGAATCTCTCCAGAGTTATTTCTTAACTCGAACATTTTACCTTGCATAAACGATCAGAAGGAAGGTGATAAACTTAAATATTTTATTTCCCATCCTATACGGCTCTTCCTAAGTGTAACAAAAAAAGTTGCATTCCTTTGGGGGACTAAGTAAATAATGAAAAACATTAATTTTTTTCATTCATTCTCCTGAAAAAGTTCAATTATTTCGGTAAATCTTTTGATTGCATTAGATTCTTGCACAATACTTTTGTTATAAGACACAATATTTTTTTATTTATTTAACACTTTCTTGAATTAATTATTTCGAAATGCATTATTTCTATTGTTATTATTTCTATTGTTTCTAATGACACTTGGACACGCTAAAACTCGCCGACCATTGGCCTTGGAAATTATGTCAGGAATGAAAGTATTTCGTTTCAAAAGTTGTCAAAAGTCATTATGATTAAAAGTGATTACAAATTTCAGATTCAAAGTAATTTTCTCTCGTGAAAAACAAAGAGTTTACAACAAGTTACAGTAAGTAACGAAAACAAAGTAAACTTAGTTGAAAAATTTTCCCACATTAGTTAAACCAATATTCCAAAAGATACATTAAAATTAATAAATGGTAATAAATTTTTATGTTTTTCTGTGTTTAACTTAAAAGTCATCAAACACATATTAAGAATTTTTTTTTTTAATTTACATGCCATACAAGTCGTTTAATCATCATGAGATAGTACAATTTATAAGTAAAATATTTCAATTAAAATTTTAAAAACAATTTAAGTATTCTTAAGAAATCTACTAAAGGTTGAAATGCAATATCATGCAAATTCTCAGCTGAGTTCAACAGTTTTACTTTCTATAAAAAAAATTTAACAATACTATCATGCAATCAATTTCAAAAAGCTATAATTTTCATACTAATATGGATGGAATTAAAACAGTATGTAGTGAATACAAATTGTATTAGACTTCAATGTGTTCAAAAATTCATAATATTGTGTAACTATCTTCATTCGAGATCCAGGAATTCTTTTAAAATGATATTTTAATTCTGTGGATTTGTTTTCAAGTCTTTGACCAACCAATATTAACAAAAGCACGAAATATTAATCATGCAAGATGTTATTAATATGTTAAATCAATTAACTTGGAATTATGTCACAGAATCATTCACATAATTAACTCGTTAAAACGGATTTGTAGTATACATCAGACTACATGTCGAAAATGCATCATTTTACAGTCTATTACGAGTTAGCCAAATGACGAAACTTCGTCATCGTATTTAAAGTATTTAATACGATGCAATAAATAACCGTGGTGCAATAAATAACACAGGGGAACAATTTTTTTCTTCTTTTACATGAAATTTGAAAAGGATCTTGGATATTTCAGGTCACTGCAATCTATCTGCAATCAAGTCTACAATCGATTTCTCTCTATCTCTCTCTCTCTCTCCGAGTTAAAGTTTTATTAATGACTTTTTCAGTTTATTTTATTGAATGTACAAGTTTAGAATCTTTATGTATGAAAGGAGGTCACTTAAATGTTTCGACAAACTTCTATGAAAGTTAGAGCACATCATCAGGATTAAAATTGAATAGGAATCCATGTTCGGAAATGTCATCATACGCTGCTAGGATGCTTCTTTATTATGAACTGTTTCTTCGTGTGCAATAGGGAAGCAGCCCTAGCTGCGTAAAATGACACATCCAAACTAGAGTTCCTATGCAATTTTAATCATGATAATGTACCCTACATCCTGTAGAAGTTAGTTGTAACATTTATGTGGGTCCTTTTTAAATATAACGTTTTGGAACTGGTACAGTTCTGCAACAAAAAGACTAAAAATATTATTTTTTAAAAATCTTTAGCTTTAGAGTAAAAACTTATTTCAGATTTGAAATTCCCATACTCAAAATAGGCAAGATTAAGTATTTGTATAAATACAACAAAAATTTGTTCCCCATTGCAATTAATTATCTAAAGATGTCGGTATTTATTATAGTCAGTGCAAATAATGCAGAGAAAGGTATGATTTAATAATACATTTTTCGCTTTAAGGCAAAAAAATATTAATAATAAAAAGTGCCTTATAATTCTTTATAATAATTTTAAATTTAAATTTAAGCCAAAACAAATGATTATTATTCATTAAAATTTACTGAATTTTTAATAAAACACTGCATTTAAATTCGAAAGTGATTTTAATAAAGCACTTATTGCAAATATTGATTTGAATTTCACTTCTTATCATTCTACTTTTGTTTCCACCCAAAGATATCTGCATTCCTAACCTTCCTTTAATACCCTTATCAATTCAATCATAGATCAAAAGTCTAGAGATTACAAACAAAAACAGAAAAGCTGATTATCGCTAACGATTGTTAAAAAAGAAAGTTTGCACATTTTGTTGATTTCTTTCTGTTACTGAGGAAGGAAGTGAATAAACATGGATTTATGTGTTCAATCAAGTGTATCCACCGTAAAGAGTTCCGATACAGAAGGAATATTGTTTATTTGGCGCATAAAAAATATTACTGCTATCAAATCACCGTGGTGGAAAAGTGGATTCTCATTCAAATGGCCATTAACACATAGTAAATGGATTATGAACATAACTGTTAGTGACATAACAAAGAAAACATTCTATATTGCCATTAGAAAACGTGATAATAATTATCCCACAGAACTAGGTGGATTAGTTTCAATTCTAACTTTAAAAAATCCTCCATACTCAGTTTCGAGCTTTGACAACTTTGATTTTAAAGCTAAAGACTTGAAAGCAATCGAAATTAAAAGTCTTCAGTATGTTCCTTATAGTGGAGATATTTTACTTCCAGATGACACTCTAANTTGTTTTATTTTATTTTATATCCGGCTGAAGCAGCTGACCCGATTCCGAGTTAACGACAATCAATGTAAACCCCGTATCCTTATGGTTCTGAACCCAACCCAAAAGACAAAGGAACCCCTGAATAAAACATTGGGAGAAATTAGCCTTTGTTAAGGACTCTATAATGGAACTAAGCCTCATTTGCGTTAAGAGGAAAACCACGAAAAAATCAACCTCAGTTAGCCCAACAAGGGGATTTTAAACCACGATCCATCTACCCCTGAGTATATTTTATCTCAGCATAGTAGTCAGTGCGAGCCAGGAGCAGAATTCGTATTAACCAGCCACAGCTGGGATTCAAACATGGTTCACCTTATTGAGAGACACACGCTTTATCCCCTGAGCCATCGTGGTTTAAACAAATTTTTTAAATTTCTTGTTTTGTTTTGTTTTTTTCCTTTCAACGATTTTATCTAATATGTAAGGCGAAAGAACGACGAATAAGAGGCTTCATTTCTTTGAATTTTGTTCATAATTATTAAGAATAAGCAGCCACGTTCTTGAACTTTTTTGAGTATAAAATGACAAATTTTATTATTAAACTAATTTTTTTTCTCCACTGAGTACTTACTTCATTTTAAAGATAATGTAACTTGATTATCCTTTTGAAATCTATAACCTAAATCGCCTAATAAACCTAAAATTTGTTTTCAAGTCTTTGACCAATCAATATTAATAAAAACACAAAACATTAATCATACAAGATGTTATTAATATGTTAAATCAATTAACTCGGAATTATGTCACAGAATCATTCACAGAATTAACTCTTTAGAACGGATTTGTAGTATACATCATACTACATGTCGAAAATGCATCATTTTATAGTCAATTACGAATAGCCAAATGACAAAACTTCGTCATTGTATTTACTGCAATAAATAACACTGGGGGACAATTTTTTTCTCTTTTGCATGAAATTTGAAAGGAATCTTGGATATTTCAGGTCGCTGACTTCAAATCTGCAATTGATTTCTCTCTCTCTCTCCGAGTCCCGCAGAGGACTGATCGTTAAGACACGGTTCCCAGCAGATCACCGAAGTCAAGCATCACTGGCTGCGGTCAGTGTGCGGGTGGGTGACCACTTGGATCAGCCTGCGTAGGGACCGAGGGTGTGCGATATTGGTCCTCGTTAAACTGTGCTACCGTAAAGTGCTCGACTTCGCGCGCAGGTCGTCGGGCTACCGAAGTGGGGGTGCCATCCCCTCCGCAGAGGATCAAAATTGTGATGGCATGTCTTCGGATCATCCTCCGGGATGTTTCCCAGACCGTCGCCAATAGCCCATTGTGCAGCTCTAGTGCGATGTAAATTAACAACAACAACAACTCTCTCCGAGCTACAGTTTTATTAATGACATTTTCAGTTTATTTTAATGAATGTACAAATTTAAAAACTTTATATATAAAAAGAGGTCACTTAAATGTTTCAACAAACTTCGATGAAAGTTAGAGCACATCATCAGGATTGAAATTGCATAGGAAGCCTAGTTCGGAAATGTCATCATGAGCCGCTAGTATGCTTCCTTATTATGAACTGTTGCTTTGTGTGCTATAGGGAAGTAGCCCTAGCTGCGTAAAATGACACATCCAAACTAGAGTTCCTAAGCAATTTTAATCACGATAATGTGCCCTACATCCAGAAGTTAGCTGTAACATTTATGTGACCCCTTTTTAAATATAACGTTTTAGAACTGGTAAGTTTCTGCAATAAAAAGACTAAAAATATTATTTTAAAAGAAATCTTTAGCTTTAGGAGAAAAACTTATTTCAGATTTAAAATTCCCATACCCAAAATATTTTTATATCCAATTTGTATAAATGCAACAAAAATTAGTTCCCAATTGCAATTAATTATCTAAAGATCGGTGTCGGCATTTGGTCATAGTCAGTGAAAATAATGCCGGGAAAGGTTTGATTTAATAATAATTTTTTTTGTTTTAAGGCAAAAAAATATTACTAATAAAAAGTGCCTTGTAATAATTATAATAATTTGAAATTTAAATTTTTGCATAAAAAAAATGATTATTATTTATTAAGATTTGCAGAATTTTTAATAAAACACTGCATTTTAATACGAAAGTAATTTTAATAAAACCCTTATCGCAAATATAGATTTGAATTTCACTTCTTATCATTCTACTTTTGTTTCCACCCAAAGATATCTGCATTCCTAACCTTCCTTTAATGCCCTTATCAATTCAATCAAAGATCAAAAGTCTAGAGATTACAAACAAAAACAGAAAAGCTGATTATCGCTAACGATTGTTAAAAACGAAAGTTTGCACATTTTGTTGATTTCTTTCTGCTACTGAAGAAGGAAGTGAATAAACATGGATTTATGTGTTCAATCAAGTGTATCCACCGTAAAGAGTTCCGATACAGAAGGAATATTGTTTATTTGGCGCATAAAAAATATTACTGCTATCAAATCACCGTGGTGGAAAAGTGGATTCTCATTCAAATGGCCATTAACGCATAGTAAATGGATTATGAACATAACTGTTAGTGACATAACAAAGAAAACATTCTATATTGCCATTAGAAAACGTGATAATAATTATCCCACAGAACTAGGTGGATTAGTTTCAATTCTAACTTTAAAAAATCCTCCATACTCAGTTTCGAGCTTTGACAACTTTGATTTTAAAGCTAAAGACTTGAAAGCAATCGAAATTAAAAGTCTTCAGTATGTTCCTTATAGTGGAGATATTTTACTTCCAGATGACACTCTAACACTTCGAATACAGCTGTTCAGTTGTTCCCCATTGAACAGCATTTCAGCTCAGTTCCTAGTTTCTTCAAAATATACAGAACAAGAGTGTTCATTTGAATGGATTGTTCATAGCCATACTACCTCTGATGGTTATGAGTACTTTTCAAGCTACGTCACAGAACCACCAAGGTATTTTACTAATTTCCCATGCATGGAATCTCTGGATTTAAACATTACATTATATTTTGAAAATGCTCTATCACCAGACAGAAACAGTGCTGTTCTCATTAAATATACATCTTGGTACAAATATCCGTTTCATGCCAAGTTTAAGTTGGCAATTCAAGACTCAAAGGGAAATTTCGAAACTTTTGCGAACAGTAACTTTCTTTATTTTAGTGATAAGACTCTATCTCACTGTGTTCCGGTGCTTATAAATATTGATGAACTACAAAACAAGAAAATGTTATTTTATCCAAAAGGAGCTTTAGTGCTTTATTGTTATGTTTCTGTTGTTACCTATTCCCCTGCAATGATTGAAGATGCATTCGAAAGTTCGAACAATAAAAACTTAAGTAAATTTATAGAAAGTAATAAATGAAACAATTCATGACAAATATTCATTTACTTGCAATAAAATGTAAAGAAATTTTTTGAAGATGTTAAAAGTTGAAATATTTGTTCAACTGAAGTACGAAATAGCAAAATATTCATTGCTTCTTCGCGCAGTTCTTTGTCGTATTTCATCAAATGTAAAAGTAACACGAAACGAATAAAAATTGCTTGACACTATTGCAAATATTCTGACGTTTTCTGATAGAATTGTGAAAGAATATGAAAATTAAGAATGACATAGTATGTAAGATTTCTCAATTTAGGATTCTTGATTACACATTCTGATGTTTTTATGATTTCAATATTTTTTTTCTCGGGAAAATCTTATACATCTTCTGACATTTTAAATTCTCACGAATTCCACGCAGTTTAAACTATTTACTGCACGCAAATATTAAAAAAAATGAATCTGCTATGTGATTTTTAATTCTTTGTTTTAAAGTATTGAGTATTAATGTGTTAAGTAAGTGGTCATAAATATAGCAGAAATATGCTTAAAACTTTTTTAAAAAAAATTTTGATCAGTTATACAAATTTAGAAAAGAAAAGCACTATTTATTTGCATTTTAAGCATTTATGAATAAAAAAAATATTGTATAGAACAATATTCTTTTATTTCAAATCGGGATGAGTTGTGATAAAACAAAGTTAATTATTCTGAAACTTTAATATTTGAATTATATATCAGTAGATGATTAAATTTAATTTTTCAATTTATTTAACACTCCCGTTATTAAATGAAGTAATTACATTCAAATAACACATTGCAATCACATTTACCAGTACTTTTTCAATTATTCTTCAATTTTATTTTCATTGCTAATTATTATTTCACATTAAAGCATCTAATTAATAAAGAGTTTTATGTAATATAACTTTTTATTTAAACTATTATTAAATGTTAAATGAATTACCCCAAGAAAAACTCAAGTATATTATAAAATGGTGTGGGGTGAGCAGATATCGACAATGTCAACCTTCTTCTATGAAAGGTACCCCAACATAAAATAGAGTTAACATGTCTTATATACTAGGGAATTGTATTTTTGTAGTGGTAGATACACTACAATGGGTTTTATTAAAAAAATTATTATTGATTATTTATTATCAGAAATTATTTATTCATATATATAATAATTAATATTTTACTTTCATAAAATCTTATCTTATGTTGTTAAACTCTTCACTAAACTCAGTGGTATTAATAGTAAACTTTAAATATTGAAAAAAAAATTTGAAATCTTTATTTTTTTACTCTGAAATGATGACAATAAAAGATAGTTGATAGTTAATTATAAGGTTCCTTATAGCACAAGGAACACCTTTAAATAAAACTATCTTTATATGACATTCGTATTCCACGGAAATTTAGTTTCTGAACCTGATTTTCTTAATTTTTAAATTTATGTAAAGGCTTAGTGTGGATTGAAGCTTATTATATAGATAAATATAGATTTTTGTTAACGTAATAAATATACTTATTGAATCTAATATATAACATATTTTTGTATAGTAATTGCATCAACTGAAATGTATTTAAAACAATTATATCAATTTTTTGCATTAGACTATTTCGTCATGCCAGTTATAATATTTTTTTTGGCAAACTACCAAGTTAAAAAATTATTATATCATTTTTGACAAAATCATACCTAAAGAACAAATAAATTAATGTCAAATAAACCTAAATTAAATTTTGAACAAAAATTTTGCGGCAAATATAGATAAAATTTGCTTAAAAATTATTCTAAACTGCTGCCTCGTATACCAGTTTATTGACAGCAATTAATTTTTATGGCACTTTTCTTGCTTAAATTTGTACTACAATTATGAAAACAAAAAGTCTGAAAATGCATTTATTAGATTTGGAAGGAGATGTTCCAAAATTTTTACCGTTACTGTATACTTGAACTGTTTATGTATTTCTACTGACTACTAGGTGTCCTTATTAATTTCAACTGCAATTGAAATTTAGTTTTTAGTGATAGTTTTAACAAAAAATATCATTTTAATAATTAAAGAGCTTGGGGCAATATAAGAACACCTTTTCATATTGTTTATGAGAGTGATTTTAAAAAGTCACGATTGTCATGTAGATGATAAGATGTTCATACGCAGTAAGCTGTTATCTAGAGAAAACTATGATAACTTTGTAAGTATCTTAATGTAAACAATGCATCTCTTAAAAAAGAGCAGCATATCACTATATTACCCTACACTGTAAAAATATTCCGGAGCAAATTACGGTAATAAGTATTAGAGCTTTGGGTGCATCATTCGTAAAATCCATTTTACAGTTACTTTTCCGTTGAAAAATCCATTTGCATTTTCTATTTTTCCGCAAAAATCCATTTGTATCGTAAAATATTGTACAGTAATTTTTACAAGAATATTTATTTAATTAGAGTGATATAATGTTTTTACGTTAATTATTAATGTAAAATTTGCGGTACTTAAGATTTTTTGTTACATAACATGTTCCAGTAAAATTGTATTTCACGATGAAATGTAAAATCAACGTTTAACAATGCATCCTCAGTAACGGAACTTTTTACAGTAATTTGATCCGGATTCTTTCTACAGTGGTTAATTTACCCTTTAATTTCCGTGGTGATTGTTAGATTTTAAGGTCAATTATTTAAAGTATTGAGTTAATCTTGTTTAAATATCCTCCATTGAAAAATTTTATACAAACAAAACAAATTAAAAACTGTTTACTTGAGTTTTATGAATAACAAAACGTATTGACTGATAAATTCTTGCGATTTGAAAACTCATCTTTTTAAATGCTTTCAAAAAACTGCTCCTTAATTTTCAACAATTGTTTTATCTCTGATATTTACTGAATCACTTTTCTGCTATTCTTAGTTAATAGCCTTTGAAATCAACTTTAGAAAAGCCTAACTAAAAAACTTTTTAACAATGTATTTTTATTTTTATCAGGGTTCTACTGTTAGAAATTTTTGAAGTGTGAAAGCCTAATATCATTCAAATTTGGTGCAACTTTAATAAGATGCAACGTTTAACCAAAATATATTTTCAAAGAGTTCTTCTTAAACTTAATTACATTAGACTATGTTCCAATTTTCTTAGCCTGATTGGTAGGAAGTTAGATGAATTAGATTAGTAGGGATTGAAGTCACGTCCGAGAATTCAATCCCCACTGGCTAAAAACTCCCCGTGTATTGAATAGTGACTGATGCACATTAAATCTGTTGGGTCACAAAGTCCCTCTAGTTCTCATAACAAATCAATACCTCTGGGGGCACTGAATTCGAGATTCATTGTTCTCTGGTTCAGGTCAAAATTATGATCTGTGGATATTGCAATGGGTCCAACTTTTAAAACGGGCTGTGACAAGTTATATGTGACTGAAGTCGTATTCTTGGTCATAAATGGCGCCACTGAAAAACAAGAAATGCACCCTCTGCCTTAAATTCGCTTAGTTGGACCAAGCAGGTTTGCTGGTATCATGGTAAGTGGCATTAGAAACAACCATTAAAAAAGGCAAATTCATTTTTAACACCTTATTGTAGATGCTGAAAATTTGCTTGCATAATGGCTCAACATTGAGCTGATTTTCCTAAGAATAACAACGCAAAATTCATTTGGATTTGATTTGAACTCTGAAAATTTTCCAGCTGCTGGAAAACTCTTGGTTCAGCTGAACTTATTAAAATTTTACTGACAATTCATTATTTAATTACATAATATATATA